TTGCTCAAGTAAGCTGCACCTAGCCATTGGATCAGCTTCTCTACATAAGAAGCTGCATACTTTGAGCTCTGCTGGAGCTTGGTCTTTCTCTGCAGGGCACAGTCAGCTTCTTTCAGCCAAGCTTTCCTTTGCATCTCATTTCTGCAAAGCTCTGCCCTGACCATGCAGGGCCAAGAACTCTTTCAGCAGCTCATTCTTTGAAACGTTGTGGCTATAACTCCTTTCTTTCTGCAACCGCTTGCCAAGTTGAGAGATCTCTCTGCTAAACTCTCTCTTTCTCCCTCCGCCAGCTGCTCTGGCAAACCTCTTCTGCAATCTTCCAGCCTCTGTGTGCTCATCTTGAACTTTCTCCTTGCAACTGCCCAAGCTTCTGCTTCTGAGGCTAAGCCTCTTCCAGAATCATCTGAATCTCTTCACTAAGCTTCATCTTCTGAAAGGCAAAAAGCTCTTGCTTCCTGGAAGGATCTGTCTCCTTCTTCCTTAACTGCCCACCTGCAGTTCCTCTACGCTCTTCCAGAACTGGAGGCCGGCCACCTTGTCTGCCTGCTTCTCTCTGAAACCGCAGTCTTGTTACAACTTCTTCTGGGTCTTCTTTCTCAAGCTCTGCTAGCTTCTAAAATTAAAGCTAGCTTCTGGAGGTAAGCTGACTTCACTAGTGCAGCTTCTTTCTGCAGCTTGCTCTGCTGCTGCCTCTGGTATGGAACTACCCTGTTAGATAGCACTGCTCTGGTGTTCCAAAAAACTTCTTTTCTTCTGTAAGCTAGCTGGGCTGGGGCTGGGTGCAAGCTGGCTGGAAGCTAAGGACTCTGTCGGGCTTGCTGTCACCTGAAGCTGTGTTGTCGGGCTGGCCACACTTTTGGTTTTCTTGTTGTTTGGTTTTGGAAAACCTTCTAAGCTCTTCCTTGCAAAGCTGTCCTGCGTTGAAGCTTTTGCTGCAGATTGTCTTATCTTGGCTGCTTCCTGCTGGGCTTACATTATAAGTAAGAAACATCGAGAAATCAAAAGAAGGTGTCCAAAATCGGAAAAAACAACGGGAATTCGAAAGAAACGATCCAAAATCAAAAAAACATCGAGAAATCGAAAGATTTTGCCCAAAACCGAAAGAACCCTCGAGAAATCGAAAAAAACCAAAAAAACCAATCTGGCCAACAGACTGTTTACATGATACCAGCACATTGTCCTGGAATCTTTGGTTTTTTTGGTTTTTTTTCGATTTCTCGAGGTTTCTTTCGGTTTTGGACAAAATCTTTCGATTTCTCGATGTTTTTTTCGGTTTTGGACAGGAGCCAGACATCTGTAGGAGGGGGGGGGTAAGGTGGAGAACTGTTTGCATGACCCCAGCACATTGTCCCAGAACTTTCTTTTTGTTAAAAAAATCTCAAGTTTTCGGTTTTTGCCAGAATGCAGCAAAATTAGGTGTGTGCAAAAACCCAACGCTCACAGGGTCCCTTTCTGGAAAACAAAGGGCCAAGATCAGACGTCAAGGGGGCAAAGTCTTTGGTTGAGGGCAACTCCGAAACCAAGGATTATTGGGAGTTTGATGAAGCAAGGCACGCATGGGTACTAGTGCATTTAAGACCTAGAAAAAGGCTTTTTGCACCAGTGGGTAAGGATTGTCCTTTCGACTCCAACGAGGTTGAGCCGGAACGCATCACCGAGTGGAGATGCAAGGGGAAGGTTTCCGTGCATAGGGACAACTGGCAAGAGACTCCGTATCAAAGGATTTCATCCAAAAGCTGGTTTGGTAAGACGTGGTTCTTTCCGAAAGGACGTGTGTCGCCAGATCAAGCGCAATTGTGTGCAGCCGCAGCCAACCCTTCAGACGGTAATCTCAGAGCTATGCAAAGGTTCATCGAGCAAGCCGGTGACAGCCAAGCACGAACTAGGAAGGCCAGAGAAATCCTTGAACTCACTAAGGACTTGGTCAAGCCTGCACGTGAAGACCGCAAAGGTCGAACGGCGAATCCGACACTCTTTGAGTTTTGTTGCGATGAGAACTCAACGTTGGGTCAGATCAACGAAGAAAGAGGAATCAACCATTTCCGACTCACAACAAAGAACTCTGACATGTCAAGCCAGTGGGAAAATGACAGTCTTTTGAAGGTCATAGAACAATTTCCCGGGTGTGATTTGTGGGGATCGATTCCTTGCGGCCCCTGGTCGCAATGGCAGAATGTAAATCTCCATCAATACGGAAAACCGTTTGCTAAGAAACTCAAGAAAATGCGCAAGCATTCTAGGAAAATTTTAGCAAACTACATTCGTTGTGCAGACAAAGTCCTCAGTCAAGGGGGCCACGTTGCCTTCGAGTGGCCAAAGACATGTGCCGGATGGGACTTGCCAGAGCTGATCAGGTTTGTCAAGAGGCATGACTTGTTCGTGGCGGAACCTCAAGGTTGTGCATTTGGACTCTGTGACCAAGAAGGTAAATGTCACCTCAAGACGTGGAGAGTTGTAACCTCTTCATGGAGGTTGGCTAAAAACCTAGACAGTGCCAAGTGCCAACATCCGCGTGACTATAAGCATTCACCTCTTGCAGGCAGTAAGACACCTAGAAGTGCCTTTTACCCGATGCCTATGGCAAGGTGCATTTCTCAGTCCTTATATCCCTGGATTGACGCACCGCCTGCAATGCCTGTGCAAGTGTCAGCTGGGCCAAACTCCGTGCAAGAGTTCCTGTGTGGCGACCACGCCCCAGAGGACGAGGCAGGTCATCAGGAGCTGCCAGGAGTAGAACATGTGTTTGCTGGCATCCACAAGTTGTTGGAGAGAAAAGAATGGGGTAACTTTCCTGGAGCGCAAGACGCCATTGACAATGAAGTGAATGGGCTAGTAGCTAACGGAACCTGGACTTTCGATGAGGTAATCTCAAAAGAGGACCTTTTGGCAAGATGTAAAAGGAACAAGGAGCATATCAACATTGCTTCCCTAATGACCATCTTGTCGATAAAGCATTGGGAAACCCCAGAACTCCGTAAACTCAAGGCCAGGATAGTTTTCCGAGGGGATCACATCCTCACGGAAGACAACAATCTTGCGGTGCTCCAAGAAGCAAAAGTCACTCCGACCGGAATGACCGGTGTCAACATCAATCTAGCATACGGCGCCATCAAGGGTCACGAAACTCGTCAATCAGACGTAGTAAAAGCCTACACCCAAGCGTACCTTGGGACAAAGGTGCCCACATGGGTGATCTTGCCTTGGGAATTGACTCCTCCTGAATACCGGCACTTCAAACAGCCGTGTGTGAGGTTGGTCAGGAGCCTTTATGGCCATCCCGAATCAGGATACCATTGGGATCAAAGGCTAAGGGAAGTGATGAAACTTTTGGAAGGTCAACATGTTGATGAATTTCCATCTTCATTTTGGTTTCCACAAAGGAAGCTTCTTGTAACTTGCTACGTCGACGACATTCTGTGCTCAGGGCCGTCGTCAGAACAAAACAAGTTTTGGCAGGAGATCGAAAAGCATTTGGAGATCGAACCTCCAACTCAAGTTGAACGTGTGCTGGGTAGACAGCATAAATTCGATCGGACCAATGGATCGACCAAGGTTTCGCTCGAAATGTTCGATTTCATCGAGAACGCATGTGCAGTGTATGAGGACTTGGCTCAATGTAACTTGAGCACAGCTAAAAGTCCTTTCTGCCCAGAAGGTAGCCTTACCGCTGACTTTGAAAGTAAAGGGGTTTTGGCAACTTCTGCATGCAAAATCTTGATGAAAATCCTCTGGTGCGCTAGGCTAAGCCGACCCGACCTAATGAAAGGGATAGGGGATTTGACACGTAGGATTACCACTTGGAGCCGAGCAGATGATAAACGGCTCCATAGGCTAATGTGCTACCTGTATGGGTCAAAAGGGTACACTTTACAAGGACATATAGGCGACCCGCCAGAACTGCTCAAGCTGTGCTTGTACACAGATGCGGACCACTGTAGTGGCATCGAACACACAAAAAGCACGAGCGGCATGTTCTTGTCCATTGAGGGCCCTAACACCTTGTGGCCAATCGCGTGGGGCAGTAAACGCCAAACCGCGACTGCCAGGAGCACAACAGCAGCAGAGATGATCTCACTAGGATCAGGCCTTTTCGGCGAAGCATTGCCAGCACAAGGCTTCCTGGAATTGATCTTGGACCGTCAGGTCACGCTAGAGTGCTTTCAGGACAACTCAGCTGTAATCCAGATCGTGGCTGCAGGTTATAGCCCCAAATTGCGACACCTCACGAAGACGGAGAAGATCGAACTAGGTTCAGCTTATGAGGTCTTCGAAGATCCAAGTTGCAGACTCCTGTACATAGCAACGGACAAGCAGAGAGCAGATGTGTTTACAAAACCATTGCCGGTGTGCAAGTGGGACCATGCACTAGACCTACTTAACATGGCATCCTTAAGCTCAACTTGCAAAGTGCCATCTCGTGAAGCGGAAACGCTCCGAGACCCGTAGGCGTAGGCCAGATAGTTAAATAACTAAACTGGAGTCTGCGTAGGACACTTTCCGAGTGTGAGAAGGGGGAGAAGAATGCCCCCTGCTGGAATCCACATTTTCCTGATGGTAGGTGGTGCATGCATGTCTAATTCAACCTTGCCCCCGGAATTCATGTTTGCTTGAACTTCCTTTTGAATCAGGTTTCCAGGGTTGACACTGATAACAAACATTCAGTTCGCCTTGGATGACTTGTACTTTTGGCTCAAGATAAAAGGAGGGTCGCGCGAGTGAAGCTTTCTGTGCCGCCATTGCACTTTTGGTTACACTCTTCACTTCATTTGTCTTGATTCGTATTTCGTCTGAGACTTCAGTCACCTATGTGCCGCCGCTTGCTGGCTGAGGGCTCTGGCAGTGGGTGGCCTTTAACTTTTCGGGTTTTTGGAGACAAGTCGAGTGTTTAATTTTGGCTCAGTCAGGAGGCGAAGCAAAACTGGCGCGTGGTTCCCAAGCGGAACAAGCGCCGATGGCAACGGCATGAAGCAGCTGCGAAACCAAACCTGTGCCGATCCGAG